AGTGAAGTGGCAGTTTGAGACTGAAAAGGATGAAGTTTGGGCCAAAAATGCCCCCAAACTCCCATTGGAATATATCAGAAAACACTTTTTTTTCCTCCTCTTTCGATTAAATTCTTTGCAGCAAATGTTACTGACAATTAACTTGATGTTGCAAAAGAGAATCGGAGAACTCAAAACAATAAATGTTGGGCAACGATGATACTTTTTGTGAGGGTATTTTTTTTGCAAAAGCGTTACGTTCTCATAGATTTTATCTCCCTCCTGTGAAATCTGGTTCTCTTTAGTCTGGTGCATTTTTTCTTCTTTATATATCGCTCATGATTTGTCCCCCTTCCCACCCCCTCTCATCGCTCATCTCTTCCCAGTTATTCCAGAAATGCAGTGGGGTTGGCCAGCTGAGTCAATCACTGGGTCTGAATAGTAAACAAAAACACAAGAGGTCTGTCACACCGCAAGCGACTATCAATATCCACTGACAATAATACGAGCCACTCTTCGCTGTCTGCAAAGAAGCTGAGCCTTTCGGATTGTCCTGCACGTCAGTTTTCTGGAGTAACAAGACAATTTATAGCAAATGTTTATAAAGTAACCAAGCATACAACCAATGCATGCATCAACAAGGCTGGGAACACTTATGAAACACACATTTCATCCTGCATTGAGCATACCAGCAGAGCAACTGTGAGAAGTCTCAGCTTATACTAGATTGGACGTTATTAGTCAGCTGGAAGCCAAACAGCTAATGAATGAGCTAATGAATGATTGTGAAGCGTGAATAAAGCCGCTGAAGCCAATCAGCTAAGTGAAACTTGAGTGCTCAACCAGAACTAACGCTATGTGCAATTTGGTTTGGTTGGGCTCCTGTTTGCTGAGAGTCTGTGTTTTCACTGCAGCATACAAATAGAAATGAATGTTAGGAATCAGACACAGTGTTTTATCTGTAGTCTGTAATGCACTGCATTGGTAAGTCTCATACATGTAACTCTACATTTGTTGTGTATTACTTGGAACATGAAAGAAGTAATTCTGTTGAGCTATAGGATCCTTAGTCATGGTATTTTTACAACACTGCTGCAGTGGCCTGGTCTTGTCGGACTTGTCGATTGGTTGGTCAATTTAGTCTCATTCAACCAAATTCTCATTGGTCGGAAAGTCAGAGTTACTCTAATAAGGGGAAAAGTGTTTCATTAGCAGCCTTTGAGGATAAATCCATTATTTTTGGTGAAGGGAGGAGCAGACTACCTGTGAACACGGTCGCATTTTCTTGACTTTGAACTCATCCAACCAACTGCTAGGTCGAAATAATTTAACATTTATTGAATGTTCACGCAAAGTTGGCACAAACTAACTGACACTATGCTAAAGAGGTAATAGGAGTGGTTGCATTTTGTTAAAACAGATGGCCAAAAAGTCAGGTGTAAACTTTCCAAACAGTAGTTTGCATATCGCAGCTCAACAACAAACGCTGCAGATCATCTAAAAACAGCAGCTAACTTGTCTGTGTTATATTACTCTGTCGGGAAAGTAGTGCTAGTTTCAGAGGTCATATGAATATGTACTGGCTTTGCACCTGATGAGCCTTCAAACTGGACTTCTTAGGTCATATTTTATCTTCTCACAAGCTCCCAAACACACATGAACACACCAACAAAACAATGGCAGCAGGCTCTGGTTTGGAGATTTTACTTCTGAGGCAAAGGTCAACGTGTTTTGTGCTGAGATCTTGCAAAATGCATCCATTAAATAACATGACAGAATCTTTTATGATCTTGTCCACATTTTAACTACCCTTTTTTCTGAAGACTTAAAGTGTGTGTAAAGTGGCTTCTGCACAAGTGAATTGTGTAAGTGTTGTGTTGCTTTGGATATTGCTTGCTGTGTTTATGCAAGGAGCAGGCATGACAAAAATCCCTGGTCTAAAACTGACCCACAGCAGCTGTAGCTGTTTTATGGAATAAACACAATAAAAGTCAACATCAATCTTTGGAAACTAACGACCACATAGATGCCACTTACCCAATGTTGAACCCAACAAAACATTGGCCCTATAATTTCAGCTTTATACAGTGGCTTGATAAGAAAAGACTTGATGTAAGTAGCCTCGCACTTTCCTCAGCAAACCAACTGCGATCCCGACTAACTATAAACCCAACAACAACTACACTTTTTGTTTCCAACACACACTTGTGAAGATATACATCCTGTGCCATTTTCCCTCTCGGCTCTAAAAGCCACTCTGTCAGAGAAACTAATTGCCTTTTCAGCACTAACAAGTGTGAAGCCAAATAACAGTGGAAAAACTTCAGTTCCCTTGTTTCTGTGAATTTTTTAACAGTTTCTTTAAATGCCATTTCCAGGCCGAGGCCATTTAAAATGCAGCGTGCATCAGTCTGACTGTGCTGGCTGAACGGTTGCTGCGCAAAAGGCCATTAAGAGACACGTTTGAAGTCTTATCGACCACTTCAGGTCTCAAGTAGCTAAAAAAAAAAAAAGATCTCGTGATTGTGGGTGCAATGTTGTGTACTTGCTTACTTTAATCGTGTGTGAAAGTCTAATTCAGATTTGTCCACAGTATCATCATCAGATGACAGAAAGCAAGATCGGGCAGGGAACTTGGACCGGACTGGACTCGGATAATTTACACACACACACACACACACACACACACACACACACACACACACACAAGCTCACCTCCACTGAAACAGAATGAGAGGAGACTTACACCTGTTCTATTTTAGCAGAGCCTATTTCAAGCTGCCGCCGAGTGAGGGGTAAACACTTTATGGGCAGTGATAGGAGGAAGCCAATTCACCTCTGACCTTTGACTATTTGGGAACCCAATAAAACATCCGGGGGGGATTGAGGACATCAAGCAGCCAATCAGCATCCCTTGTCTAAAAAGTGCATGTGTCATTTTCAGAAACAGTCCTTTGAAATCTCTTTTGACGTCACACAAAACGCTCTACATTGCTGTAAACCTGCGATTGTCACTTGCTGACAAATGATCCGTTAGTTCCTGAACAGTGTGCCTTGCAGACAGAAGCAACAGAACACTTGATTGTTTGTGCTTTTTTTACTACTTTCTGCATCACTTAAAGTGAATCATGTGTGTTGGTGTTGTTGTCAGTTTATCGAGAAGAAAAGATCTCCAACAAGTGGCATTTATATATATATACTAAGTACACTGACTAGAGCACTGCACTTCAGTCCAGTTTAGAGGCAGATGCACATGGATTTCTATTATAATAAAACTAGTGGCTATACTTCATAACTACTTTTCCTTTGCACATTTGGATGATAATACTTCTGCAAATAATAATATGAGTGCAACACTTTGTGGTATAGCATTCTACCTAGGTGATGCATCTGAATATTTTTTCCACCACTCCATTCCAGCCAGGCTGCGCTTCCTGTCAACACTGGCGGTTGTGTTGCTGCACTCAGACAAGTTGGAATCAAGACTATCAGTGAACACAGACTTTTGCAAGTGCTGGAAAACAATTTGGCCTTTGCCTGATCTGCAGGAGCAACCTCTCCAATACAATGTTAGATCATACAGGAAATATACTGACGACAAATTAGTGATTTAAAGGTGAACATGGGCTCCTGTAGGCCTTGAATACTTTTCATTGTAATATAAGACACAACAATAACTATTAGCTCTTCATCTGCCACAGACAGAAGCAAGCAACTGATTCAAAACCAAGCTCACTCCTGAACAAGTGTGGTACTCTGAAGGCAAATTAAACGGCTCCCTGCTAGTGCTAAGGGCGTAGCATTGCTTCCTTTTTTGGGTGGCGTAGAAAGCCACACTTTGGTCACAGAGTGACCACCGCTCCCTCAAAAGGAAGGCTCTGTCCATGCCTGTGGCTGAACCCAGGAATGTCTAGTACTGTACTCTGGAAAGCAATAGAGTCAGGGTCCCATGGGGCCTTTGGCTTCTCTGCGGTGATAATTTCACCACAAATGAATTCAGTGGTACCAGAGCTTCTCCTCCCTTACAAAACACCATTTACATTTAGGATCATGTGAAAGGGTTATTTTTGATTGGAGAAAAACAACTAACCTTTTATCATTTTATGTTGGCTTATTTCCCATGATATGATACCTTCAGTACCCATCTTTGTTATGCATTAACTAATTAAACACTAAAAATTAAAGCATTTCTATCTGTATACAAGACTGCTACCTCCTCTCTGTTGCCTCATAAAACATTCCAGCAGCAGTCTGAACTTAAATGTGACCCCAGTTTGACTCCATCATGTGGGAGTTTTAAAGAGATGAAAGTGTTAAAAAAAAAAAGTCTTTAAACTCCATTAGGAAAAGATCTGCCTCTGTCCTCTGGGTAACGCACAGACACAAAAACAGCCTTGTTGCAGAGGTCACCGTGGTTACAAGCTGTTTGTGTGTGTGTCTTTGTGCGTGTGAGACAGAGTGAGAAGCAAAGAAAGAAAGAGACTAAAATAGTGCGCTAACTTCCTCTGAACCAATTTAAAATGCATGTCCACGGTCACGTTTGCATAACGTTCATGTAAAGCCACCTTTTGACTGGACGTCCACGGGGAGACCGTGTCCCTAAATCCACTCACTGATGCTGACAGAAGAAGAAACCTTGTGCAGTCCACTGCTAGAACCGGACTCCTACTGGGTTCTGCTCACAGGTGACAATTTGTCAAAGCAAACCGGGTCGTGCTACACTGCATGGAATGACGTGTCTTCTTACATGAATGTCAGTGAAAATAAGCTTGAGAATTAGCTGTGGGGGAATTATTCAGTGTCAGCCACAACAGAATGAAGCCTAAATAAGACCTAGCACAAGGCATGGCTGTACAGAGCCAGTGGAATTAACACCTTGTTAACATTACAACACACTGTTCAAGTCAGCATCTAAACCTGCTGTCTGACCATTGATTTTTATGTTTGGACTCCGGCAGTGTGTCCAGCTCTATCCAGTGAAGAATGCAGGATAATACAAAAAACACCATCTACAATCCTACCCGTCTCACCATCTGTGGCATCTTCACAGCTCTGGTTGAAGTTTTCGTATGAGTCCCAGCGGATCAGCGGATCTTGCGTGTTGTAGTCAACCGAGACGCTCGGCCCGTTCTCCAGGAGATCCATACCTTGACCAGAAGTACGTAAAGACAGAGTAGAAATGTGAATTTCTTTACATCTCAAAAAGGAACAGCTACACTTACTAGGCATGTGAAAATGAACAAGATATTCTTCCATAAAAAAAGATTTGATGAGTACAACCCTCCCGTCCCCCAAAACCCACCAGCGGGTTTGAAAGGATTTTCTAAAAAAGTTTTCATAATTACACTACTGATTAGAAACGGTAAAAACAGATATCAGATTTTTAACACTCCTCTTGAACTGCTGATCTTGAAACTGTGATGTTTTATCAAAAATCTCTTTCCAAAAATACACCAGATTTGCATCGTTTGCACCAGTCTGTGTAAAAAAAATAAAAATATCTGTTTCTCCATGCGGTCATGAAGCTGTTAGTGACTCAGCTGTGACCAACAGTCACATGAGAAAAATACAGGAACTATTAGACTGAACTGCAGGCTGTGTTCACGCAGAGCTGACAGGAAACAAGTAGGAAAAATGTAAGAAGTAAAATATCTATAGTATGTGGAGTCACTATTTGTTCTACAGGATTGATAACAACGGTGGTCATGTATTGTACTTGTTGATTCCAGGTTTGGATTTTTTTTGTTGTGCTTCAAAATCAACTTTTTTCTAAAACAAATGATGGCATTATATTTTTTGTTATACTGCAGAGACAACATTGTTGAGTTTTTTCTACATCTTGCTATATTAGTGCTGTTTCCATAGAGGTGCAGGGATTTATATTTCTGTGAAAAATGAGCCTATGGTGAGTAAAAATGTGACAGGAGCAAAAAAGAAACATGCCTAGGATTCAGAGATAATTATTTTCCTGTTTGATTTCAATGAACAAACACGGAAAACACTTTTACACACTACAAAATGTCCGGGGTGTTTTGTTGCATACCGTCTTCCTCCCACGCACGTTCTGCCTGCTACGTCTAATTAAAGGCAAAAATGCCCTAAAAATAGGCTAAAATGAAACGAAATGTAATATGTGGAAAATGCCGAGCGCAGCCATGAGGCTCATCACGCCGATTCTCACCATGGATTTTCTCTGGTCCAAAGGAGAAAATAAACTCAACTTTTCCATATTCTGGAAATCTGTCATCTGCACAAAGGAGAGAGAGAGAGAACCTGAGTTTTGTCTTTACAGGAACAGACAAGACAGTAATAAATCATTTCTTGCTTTGTCAAAGTGGCAAATACATATAAATAATATTCAAAGATGATATGTTCACGGCATGCAGAAGCAACATTTTTTTTCCAAAGTCGAGATTTTACTAGTTACTTAAGCTGGAAAAAAAAAAAAATTGATTTCTTGCTTACATATTGTAATGCCAGTGGATGCAGAGACTGAAACAAGGCTGATTTCTCCCACATCTCTTACCTTTGAATGTCTCATCGAGCTCGTCTTTCCCGAAGACGATCCCCAGGTCGTGGACGGCGCAGGTGTGAAACTGCACCCTGAATATCACGTCTCTGCACGGGCTGCGGTAACGCTTGTGGTAGCACTTGAGCTGGAGGGCGAAAAAACCATCAGATGAGATTCATTAAGCGACGACAGAACTCAGCAAGTCAAGCTAATGTGGTTGGATTGTAGCTGAAAAGCTCTTTTAGCTCTACAGGTATTGAGAAACCTATTGAAACATAATGTATTGCCTGCTCATTTTTACAGCGTGCCATCTCTAAATATCAAAAAGTTGTGTTCACCTGAAGATAAGTCAAATCAGTCAGAATATCAAGTAAGCGCAGCATAAAATGGTATTTGTGAAACACAAGCCCAGAGAGATGGCAACTTGATTTACTGTCAGCTCCTTCTCAACACTGGCTCATAGCTAGAAAAAAACGTTTTTTATATACATCCCTTGTAACATAAGGCCTCTCCACAAGCATTATTATCCAATCTGGTTCTCCAGGCAGCTTTAAGAGCAACACTAAAACCACACACAGGAAAATCTGCTCTCTCCCTCCTGCTGTTGCCTGATGTGCAGCCCTGGATCTGCTTTTTTTTTTTTTTCCTTTTTTACAGGGACCTCACATTTACAGTTACTGCAGGAAGATCAACCTAAACCCAAACAACGTGCAGCTCACAAACTGTGGCTGTAAAGAATAAAAAAACTGACCAACTGTAAAACATCCCACTATTACAACAGCAGTGAGCGCTTCCAAGCTTTTTATGGTTTCTTTTGACATACGATGCAGTCGCTTTTTGAACACTAAAGTCCTGCAGATTTTATTTTAAATGGATATAGTTGATCTCTTTTCACATCAATCTGCTCTCAACAATCAATAGCACCAAAGTGAGACCTGCAATTTCTTATTTACAAAAGCATTCAGACCTTTTACTGTGTCTCCAAACTGTAGTCAGGTTTATGCTGATTGCTTTATTATCATTGAGACATGTTAAGAAGATGCAGGGAATCCAGCTGTGACCAACTGAATGTAGTCTAAAAGGAGAAAGAACTGTGCATATAAAGGCCACACAATTCGCACTGCACGTCAGTACAAAAATCAAGCCATGAAGTCAGAGAAAGTCTCTGCAGGCCTCCGTGATAAAAAAATTGTGGCGAGGCACGGATCAGAACAAGAGCATAAAACCATCACTAAAGCGTTGAGTGTTTCCAGGAGCACGGTGGCCTCAAGAGCTGTGAAAAAGAAGAAGTTTGAAACTACCATGTCTGTGTGTTCTAGGATTTAGTCGTGCCAAAGTTTTGGTCAGGAAATTGAGAAAGAACCCAACAGTCACTTGAACTTTGGAGGTCTTCTGCAGAGACGGGAGAACCTGCCAAAAGAACGGCCATCATCTGGAGCACAAGTCAAGCTTTTATGGTGGACTGGCCAGACGGAAGGTTTTCTGAGTCAAAGGCGTATGACAGCCCACTTCAAGTTGAACAAAAAGGCATTTAAAGGACTCTGAGAATCTGTGGGAAAAGATTCTCTGGTCTGATGAGTCAAAAACCAAACTGTTTGGTCAGAACTCCAAACATTATGTCTGGCAAGAACCAGGTGCTGCTCATCAACAGCTGATACCAACCATACAGTGAAGCATGGCGGTGGCAGCATCATGGTGGTGCTTCTAGTTGGAGGGAAGACTGAAGGAAGGATGAATATCCAGATCTAAACTATTTAAAAAAAACACCTATGGAGGGAAAGGAAGGGGGCAGATCACAGATGCCTCCCCTCCAGTTTTATAAAGCTTAGGGAATCTGTTTGGTAGAATGGGACAAACTGCACAAAATCACTTTACTCTTAAGACGCTAAAGACTTCTCAAGGAAGCTGTAACTGGGCTCTACAGAATCCTGGATTCCAGGTCTGAATACTTTTGTAGTATTTCATTTTAGGTGAATTGACAAAAATGTCCGAAAATCGTATAATGAATTGAGTGGTGTAATTTTCTGGGTCAGTTTTTAATTTATTCATTTAAAATTACATTCACAGCTCTGGAAGATGTGAAAAACTGAAGCTGTCTGAAAATTTCATATCGGTGCCAAAATAAATGCAATTTTCTATCATACAAAAGAAAATGTCAATTGGACAAAATCAGCTAAAAACAAAAAACTAAGGACTTCTGACTCAAACGAGGACTGACTGAACCTTCTGTTTTGTGTAGGACTCAAAAATAAAACTCAACACATATAAGATTCCTAAATCCACAAAAGCATATAGAGGAGTAAAGATAAAATGAAGTAAAAGCTCCTGTGGCTTTGTGCAGCTTTTTGGGATATGGTAAACCTCCCACTGAGGGGTCCATTTCACGGAGAGAACAATACTGGCAAGCAAAGTCAAAGAACAAAATATAGTACGAGCAAAACAATCATTTTAGGCTTACATGTTGCCGTTAGCGTCCTGACGCTTTCCAAAACGGGTTTTCCACATTTCTGAATAGATTGTGTTTATTGTTCAAGGAATAGTTTGACAGTTTGGGGGGAAAAAAAACTTTATTTATTTGCTTTCTTGTTCTTGTGTCTGTGCAGTAATTATGAAGCCCAGAGACGGTGAGCTCAGCATCTGGTCTGGAAACAAAGCTAGTTTGGTTTAATCCAAAGGTGAACAAATCTGTCTCCTGTCACCTCTTAACCTGTTAAACCAGAATTTTATGTTTTATTTATGTATAGATGGAACAAATGTAATGTTCAGTGATTATAATGAGATAAGCACAGCTAACTGTTTCCTGTCTTAATCCAATTGGCTGCTGTATCCCCATTTATAATACAGACAGCAATCCTCTCATGTAAACTCAATAAACTATTCTTTCGGTTGAGTCTGATTAGGTTAATTGTGACATTCTGGACAAAGCTTCATCATAAACCAAAAGACAAACTGGAAACCAATGAGAGCAGAAAACCTGAAGAATCTCAAATATGTTTACGAAGACGTTCCTCTACAATTACTTTCTTGATCATCTAACCATTCAGCAATTAGCCGATCTGGCGGTCGTGATCAACAAGCTGCACAAAAACACCCGATCACAAACTCTGCTGACTGATGTGTCTCCAAATAAGCCATAAAACCACAGTTCACGGTTTCCCCCGTTATCTGAACAACAACAAGCATCGGCGAGCGACGGTTTGGTCAGATGATGCATTCAGCAGAACCCATTAGTCCGTCTTAAATAAAGGATGAGATATGAGAGGCCAACACATAACGGCCTCCAGCCTGGCGTAAGTGCTCCCTTTGAGATTCTCCACGCTGAAATTACGAGCCCGAAGGACGTCTCGCGGATAACGTTATGGCCTGAATGACAGCAGAGGCAGAAACTTTGCTGATGTGTGCAGTTCTTTCACATGCAAATATAAACCGGGGGCCATCACAGGTACTGGAGGATGTGACTTCTGCATTTTAAAAGGTCAAATAATATATTCAAAAATCACCTAAATGTGAAACTATCTCTCATAAAGTATTAAAATCACACATTTGTCATGCAGCTCGACTTTTAAATGATTATGTCATGTTAAAACAGTACACTGTGTATCCCTGAACGCTGCTGGAAAGGAAGCCGACTGCCATTTTGACGTCATAGTTTCCAGCAACATATTGTGTGCTAATGAGGGTCTATAAAGTGAGGTATAGGACCCAGTCCAACTGTCTTTCCCCGGGATTTTACGGCCCTATTTCTTCCGTGAATGGTCACTATAAACTGCTAAAGCACATGCATACAGTACATACACCCGACGTCAGATTGGAAAAACCAACAGGATTCCCTCATTACTATTTAACAATAAAAATCAGCGCGTCCTGTGTACATTTCTGCAGCTGTTCTCGCTGGCATTCTGTCCTCATCCGCAGTTTATCTTTCTTTCTTTCTGGCACCTTGCAAAATTTGAGAAAATAAACCTTCACACCTGAGAGTTCAACCAGTGGCATGACAGAAAATTATTCCAGTTTCTTTTTTTTTTGCAGGTAAAATTCACAGAAGTCCAAACGAATGACATCGTTACAAGCAGCTAAGGGACTGTACTGAGTACATCTGTGCTGTTCTTACCAGGATGTCCCCCTTCAGAAGAAGACCAGGCTCGATGGTTATACAGATGCTTGTCTGGCTGTCGCCCTGAACGTTGCTGCAAAAACAATTGAAAACACAACATATTAGATAACAGTCCCGCCTTCGCAATTACTACTGTGCACAACAACACTGTAAATCCAGCGTCACTCCACTCCATCATTCTTTGTTGTCCATATATAACCAGGCACACATGATCTGCTAACAATCCCTCACTTGCTTTTCCAGCAGCCATCGCAGGGCATAAGCACCGCGCAGCTAATTTTGGGTATTAGTGTCTACATGATTGTCTAAGTGGGAGAGCAGGGATCAAAGGGGAGAGAGTGCTAATAGGGAGCATGTGAGAGAAACTGGGGAAGAATGTGATTTGGGGCTTTAAGGGGTTGACAGTCTGGAAATGTATGATTGTTTCCCACTTAGTTATTGTGTTTACAGTATTTACACCGTGGACAGAAACAGTTTAACACCACCAATGAAGGTAAACAGATGTACAGAAAAAATGACAAAAGCAGCATTAAAAACTATTTTTACAATGTCAACGGATCAAGGGAAACATGCAAAGGGTGTTTCCCGATCCATAGATATTGATCACACTATCCTGCTCCATGTGGCATTTTTACATCGTGCCGCTCACTGTTTTGGTTTTCTGGCCCACATGCTCGACTCTCACCAACCTGAGGGATGGTTTCATAGAGCACTGTCAATGAAACAGATAGTTCACTCCAAGAAGCAGTGCTACCTTATTGCAAGTCTTCTGTAGAACTTGCAGATTTCAACATCTAGGTTGCTGTTTGGATGGCAGAAATGGAAGGCGACATCCAGTGGGTCAGTTCAGGGCTAAGGTGTGGAAATGTGTGGAAACTGGCAAATAATTAAATGACTGAAACTAAATTTCAGTATTTGCATGCCGGCCTCATCCATGCGAGGGCAGTGCAGCACTCGCCTCCCACCGTCTTCTCTCACCTCCCCTCTTCTCAAAACAACAGAAAGCCGCACAATCTATTGTTTCCTGTCTGGTCCTGGAAACCAGCAGAACCCCGCGGCTGCACAACTCCGCAGGTGTCCACATGGATGCCTGTCTGCCCTTTATATTGGCTCTCCAGTAACAAATAACACTAGACGTGATTACGGGATCTAGAGTAAAGAAACCAGAGCCTGCAGCTGGGGAGCTAGCTAAATAAAATAATGTGAGCCGAGCTGCGAGGGTAAACTGGCGAGAGGGGTGATGTGTATGTATATTGGGGAGCAGGGGAGTTAGAGGAGAAGCTATAAAGGAAAATCAGGGATTTTATTATCGCGTCATTACGAGCTCGCTATCCCTGGAATCTTGTAAAAGCATTTGAGCGCGAGTGTGTTTTAGGACTTACTAGATCCCAGATGTGTAGACGGGCTGCATGGCTTGGTAGATTTTGAGAAAGGGACGACAACCTGGAAGACAATTTTAAAGAAGTTGCTCACAAATAAGGGATCTGTGTTAAAAATGCTGAGAGATTACCTGTGCACGACACTCACCTCCCTTGGACTCGAAGTTGGGTATGCCGTGCATGATGACGTGATGAAGGAACAGCGGTTTGTTGTTGATCTTGATGTGTCCAGAGAGCAACCCGCTGAAGTATTCCACATATCTGAGAGACAAGAGGAGGGGATCAAAGTGCTGCTGCTGCTGCTGCTGCATACCCCCCTTCTGTCAAACTGTATTATGATGTCTAGTGTTCCACAACAAAGAGATAAATGTACACTATAATCCTGTGTTCACCACAACAAAGATACAGCAGCTTTTGACTTTGACCTTCAGCTGGATGTTTTCAGCTTGTCATCCACGGTAACAGAGTCAACCTTTAGACCAAAGCATCTTTTGTAATAAAAACTTAAAGCTTTAAATACTTTAGGGCAACACTAATCTGATGTTTTATATCGAGAATGGATGACAGGACTGTGTGTAAGTTAAAGGGGCTTCCAATGCAGACAAATCCACAGACTTTTTCCATTCAAATCTTCACTTTTAGGCTTCTTTGAATATTCGTTGAGGTTTTTCCACTAAGAAAATTCCACCTTCACTGACATTGACAAGCCAGAAAAGGTGGATTATTTAGCAGATAAACAGACCGATAACTTATTCATGGTAAATTCAGTCAGTGGCCAGAAACTTGACTCCACATGAAAATTCAAATTGGCTGTGGAACGTCCAACCAGGCAGCTTTTTTGTTAACATGTCGATCGTTTTTAAAGCGATAAAATGTTAACGTTGTGTTTACAGTTTGTTCTATGACCCCCAGGAGCCCGTAAAAAATCAATTAATGCAGCTTTAAAACGTTTGACTTTGTAAAAAGACAGATTTCTCTGTGAGGAGAGTTCAACACGGGGTCAAACTATAAAAAAAAAAAAGAAGTGAGGCAAGACTGACCTTTTCTGAGACGGCTGGCCCACAGGAAGCACTTTGTCTTCATAGAAGCGCTTCATGGCAAACCTGTCCAGAGCCTGGTCGGCACTACGATCCAACAAGAGCGTTGTTGTGAGAACACATCTGATTGTAATACTTTTAACATTTCTTCCCCCTCCTAGTATCAGTAGCATACATATGCAGTAGTTTCAAATATGTTTCATCGTTATGTCGCCTGATATTCAGATGACAAAAGGAAAAGCAACAAGCTTGGTCACACGATGTTAGACATCTGGAAAGTCTACAGGCTGGGGCTGCTGGCAATATGACTTTAATGCATGTTTGTTTCATGCAAAACTTCCTTTTAAGCATGCTGAATGTCACACTACCAAAAAACTAAGCATAGAATTAAGCAGACAACAACATGCGCCTGGTACAGATAAGAGGAAAAACAACTTGAAGGGTTTATGTCATGGGATCCACTGCTCGGTCTGTGTTTTGACATTTGCGTTCACATATGTCAGAGCACAATGTCACGCTTGGTTCATGTTCAGGTATTGTCCCGCTACTGGTGTTTTCAAAGCTACCTGATCGCAGCATTAAGTTGCCTCATGGGATAATGACACAGAAATCTAATAGTGTTACAGGGAAGCAAGCCTGTTTTGTGTGTGTGTGTGTGTGTGTGTGTGTGTTGTTTCTGGCAAATCAGTGCTCCTTTAAAAACAACGGCGAGTCATGCGCTCCTCTGATTGTTTCTATAAAAGATTCTGTTTGGTCCTTTCTAAAAAAACAAATCCAATAAAAGCAAAGAAAAAAAAAGTCATTTTGTAACTTGAGTCTTATGGCGCACTGACTATTAAAGCTAACTCATTGCTTTCTGCACATAATTATGATATCAAGTTTTTTTGTTTGTTTTTTCATTTCTCTGAAGAAAAGCACAGTCTCATGTTCCACCCCTCCTCCTCCTTCAGCAGCTCGTCACATCTCCGACTGTTTTTCAGGCTTCGGTCTTGTGATGAACAATGCCGGCTTATCTAATTTTCTCCTCTCAAGTCTGCTCCTCCAGCCTTCTCCACTGCCTTCCACTTGTCTGTTTATGCTTCCAGAAAAAAGATACCATCTTCATGCCCGTTCTCCAGCTGCTTGTTGGGATTGCAGACCTACCTGGCAGATATGTTGCTGTAATGCATGTAGGCTGCCACCACCACGCCAGTTCTGCCACGGTTGCCCTGAAAAGACATCAGTCAGTGAGAGTAAGTTGAGCGTTTTATCTTCCACCCACGATGGTCGAGCATGCAAAGAACAGGCTGAATATGGATTTTTTTTTCTATTGGAGGAGTTTAAGCACACTAGCTTTATAGTAGTGGTTTTAAAAGCAAAATTCATGATGTGAACTAAAGTGTAGCCTCACCACTAATTTTAATTACAGAATAACGTTAATGATGCAGTTTTGCACTTTTGAAAAACTGAGAAATTCATAAGCAACATAAGTTCAGAACAAAACAATATGAAATACAACCTTTAAACCAATGCAGGAGAGGATAGCCTGACTTTTAAAGAACAAATGCAGAAAGTAAAATACACTATAGGAAACATTCCCATGTTTACAACTTATGAGCATTAAAAATGTATTGGCATATATCATCATTTACATTAAATTAGGACCATAAGGTTTCTATAACTGTTAGGGTTTCCAGATACTTAATCATTTTTTGGCAGGTCTCCAGAGTGCCACCGATTTAGTCGCACATTGTTGCACCAGTGCACCTGACGTTTAGCAGGTTTGTCTGTGTGTGTTTTAAGTGAATTCCCTTGGTTTGAAGTGAGGCAGATACCTTATTTAAAAAAACAAAACAAAAAAAAAAACACACACACATACAATATCTCCAAGAAACCTCTACTGTGGTCCCTTCTTCTCCTGCAGCGTTCAGTCACAAAACGAAGCAGGAAGGATTAAAAAATGATGAGAAAAATCAAACACTGCTTATGATACAGTCAAAGGACTAACGCGTTACGAAACAGAAACATGAAATACAAAAATCTGCACCTTTACTCCCATTTACAGTCACTTATGGAGGTACTGCAAACAGTTCTCTACCTCAACTCCCAATTTTTTATCTGGAAAAACTATAAAGTCTCATATAAATAATTAGTTTTTCACTTTTCCACAATTGTCAGTATTGCAATGAATGTTATAGGCCAGAAACTAGGATTTTATTTTATTTTTTTTATCTCTATTATGCCAGTTTGCAAAGTAGATTCTGTACAAATAATGTCTCAAAGTCTAAAGTGAAAGATTTCAGAGCCATTTTCACAAGTTGAGCACCAAACCACATTAAAAAAAAGGTTTATATTCATACATTATTAGGAATGTAAAATTTTAAATGATAGAAAAACAAACTCTAAACCATATAAGTTACTGTATCTGTTATTCACATGGTAAACAGATGCCTGGGCTGAGCCTAAGTTCAAGCACGTTACCATAGAAACACTCCCCATGTCAGACTGCATTCTTTTTATACATCCATCCTTTAAAACAAGGATCATTGTGGAGAGTAAGTGTGTTCCGCATTATAAATATCGCAGCCATTTTAACAGCAGGGAGCCCGGTGGAAATGATTTGTTGATATGTGGAAACCCAACACGGCCCGCTTCCTTAGTGACCACCACAACTGCCAGGCCCACACTCTCATCACCAGCGTTACTCAACATCCCAGAAAAAAAAAAAAAAAAAGAGCCCTAGTTGTTATAGCAGCCAACTTGTTTGCAACCTCCCTGTGGGAACGTCTTGGAATGAAGCACAGAGCTTTAGGATCCCATGGTTAATTCTTATGTTGCAAAATACGATCAGGAACACAGTGGGGTTAATGTGAAAATGATTAGGTATTACATTTGGGACATCAGCCCAGTAGTTGTATTTGGATACACTTTTTATGGTTTGTGTCAGCATACTTAGGGGCCAGATGAGTGTGGCTTGCCACAAGAGTATAATGTGATGCAAGTAAGTTTAGGCAACAACAGGAAAATATTGGTCAATTCAGCTTTTATGGTATTGTTAGGGGTAAAAGGCTAAATAAACCTAAGTAGCCATGATGACTGGCGTGCCTTACCGCCCTAATTTGTGTTTTCCTAACCGTCATCCAGCACAACCCAACCCAAACAAGCACACAAAGAGACGCAATCTTGTACACAAACACTCCACCCTAAATGTCAGTGTTCTAGTGAGGAAGGACATCATTACAGGCAGAAAGACACAAAAACAACTGCGACCTCCAGGAGAACAGGAGGTCCTCAGAGGAGCCGGAGAGCACCATCTACTGTCTGCTCCATTCGCACAGCAGCAGCCGCTCGTCTTTCAGCCTCACCTTGTTGTGTATAACCACCACGTTGTGGCTGTCCGCGCTCAGCCACGTGTCCATGGCCTTGCAGATGCTGCAGATTTTGTCCAGAGCCGGAGCGTGGTGATCGGGCCAGCCAAAGTCCAACACCTGAAAGGGGAGTCGAGAGAATACTGTTTGGACTGGCGGTCATAAAATACATGGGAGAGGAAAGGAGATGTTAAGCAGTCGGGTTTACCTTTGGATTAAGTTGGGTGATGTCATAACGCTTCTCACTGAGGTTGAAGAGCTGAAGAAAAAGGAAGCAAAAACAAACCACATCCATTATTCAAGACTCATGCTTTAGGGTTTTCCTTTCCTTGGTGGATTTGCAACTCAAAATGTATGTTCTGTTTTGGAAACAATGGGTTCCTAACTTCATACAATTGAAGCCGTCACTGCCATGAGGTGCTTTGATTAGTACATGCTTTCCATCAACGGAGGGAAGTCGACATTGTCCAAAAACCCTGTGCTATGTCCGTCCACCGTGATCGGTACACCTCAGGAATAATCTCAAGCTACAGCCCAAACTGTAACTAACCGCTTCATCCGATCTCTGTGTGTTTTTCTGTGTTCAGACGCAATACGACTGCCTCTGTAGCCGACTGACTTATTTTAGTGTGAACTGAAGCGCCAAAGTCTATATCAATCCAGGGACGTGGAAGCGTGACTCGGCCTTTATGCTTTCCACATCTGCATGACGCACATTTCATCATCTGTTCAGGTCCGGGTGGAGCTAAATGCGGATGTCTGCATCTTCTCCTCAAGGGCAGCGGCGTACATGTTTAGCAGTGGTGTTTATGCCAACCTACTGTCTGGAAGGGAGTATAATCACATCTTAAAGCTATATTGTTACATCTTATTAGTTTAGCTGTAATTACCTGGTGATCCACGTGGAGGATGGTGAAACAAGCAGACAGAACCAGCTAGCCCAAGTCGCTCTACGCTTTGCATTTTCCAAAAGTATATTTAGCTTTTGCTAAAAAAAAAAGCATGTGGCACTGGTGTATCAGCAAGTAAGTCATTAATAAAGCTTTTATTATGTAACATACAAGTGTGTACAATCTGAACAATGTCCCACAGTGCATTGCAGTCGATGTTTTAGGGAACGACAATGAACTGCAGCAATGGCCTCCACAGTTCAGCTTAAGTAAGAGTAGATTTGGTTAATTTGCTTCTGAGATGAAGACAGGAGGAACGCTGGAGTTTTGCAGCCACTATAGACTGCAGCGTTAAATGTTTATAGATGAACGCGGATGTTACATAACTGTCCTGTTGTGTGAATCTGTGGCTGGAACTAAGGGAAGTCAGATGATGATGGGCTGATCTGGGAAGCTGGAATTATTTCATTTTCTCTCCCCCCTTAAAGTATCATTTAGAAGCGGTACCAGGTAGTTGTGGCCGTGTTTGGAGCGCAGCATGGAGGCGACCTCCCTCAGGTTGGCAGCGTAGCTCTGCTCCTCCACACTGCTGGGGAAGGAGACGGAGATGATCCTCTCTGTGATGTAGATCAGGTCCAGCTCGTAGCTCTCGTCCAAGGCCTGCAGCAGACTCACGCTCCTGGACAGAAACGGAGAAGAGTTGGGTGAGGTGGGTGGATTCTGAACATCAGCGGCGGCACAAGATGTGAAGACTGCTGGACCGCAAAAGATAGATGTTGGAAGGTGTTTAATACCCAGAAGTAATGCAGCACATGTGATTTATGCACATGTGCTTGTGTTCATCAGGCTAGCAGAATTATGACCCCTTTAACTATAGCGAACAACGAGGCTGCCAAAAGGCCTCCTCAGGTTGGTGAGTTTGTGCAGATATTAGTTTTTGCTTCACTTAGACGCTTCTGATGGTTTTAACTTTACTTTACCTAATTCATTCACTGCAGTAATGGATGCCCCTGTTAGTAAAATCACAGCTGTTAGGCAGTGATTTAGGCAATAAGTTGACTGTACCTTTTGCATTAACAGTAGGTTTCTTTTGAATTATTCCAACAGCCTCATAAAAATGTACATGACATCATATCCACATGATGCATTCCAGCGATTTAACACTAAAACAGCAATTTCTTTTACAGATATCATAAGATGCATTCGTCTGTACTTTGACCCGGATCATTCCACATCATAAAAGAGTCTCTCGTACTAAAAATACATTGCTGCTTACTTCATCTGCAAACATCGTTCTCAGTGTCCTCAGTGATGCAAGCTACATTTCAGATTTAGTTGAACACGGCATTCTTTCTTCGAGCCAACTAGGAACAAATATCCTAATATGGAGAGGGCAATACGGCGTTTAAATGCCAAATCCACAATGACATCATTAAATCCCAGCAGAACTCATACTTTTCTCCAAAATGTAAGCTCTCCCACTGTATTAAGCGCAGGTCATGTTGTTGGACTTTTTGTGTCCAAGAAAGAAAAAAAAAGAAGAATGTCATTAGAATGTGTGCACTGACAAACCCAAAGACGGACAAAGATGAGGAAAATTGTAAAAAGTTAGTCGAGATGTTATTCTACCAAGTTTAGTTTGTCTGAGTGAAAAGGAGAAGATAGAAGAGGTTTGGACGCAAAGGATAAGGGAGAAGAAAGTCCATCATGTCAGAGTTTGTCCAAAGCAAACATGAAGTGTGTAACAAATGTACCTAGATATACATGTGCTGGGTTCCTAAGTGATTTCATTGATCCTTGGGGGTCGTACATTCCAAAAACTTATCTCACTCATCTTTTTGATGTGTCTCAACAACATTGCTTTGGAGAAACGTTTTAGATCATTTTAAAACTATAGAGAGGGGGTTGTTAGAAGGCAGCCTGTGAGGTTCCAAGTCATGATTTCTGCGTGACCGATGCAGGCAGGCTTTGAAAGCGCTCGGCGGCACACATGTGGTTCTGTCACGCCACAATAGGTATGCATCGGTCTGCAGAAAGGTCACATCGCTTCTCATATCAAACGCTGAAAAACACAGGGGACTCCCTTAAATGTTTCTGACAGGCTGTGACTCAGCACTTTTTACAGGAGGTTGCAGTTAGTTTCAAACTCTGCTTTAGTGCAGTGAGGACAAACGTTGGGCTCCACACAGAGATCTGCAGAAAAGCTCGTGTTGACCTTCGAGAACTTGGATGTGTGATTAAATTTACATCCCCTGTACCCTTGGAAAGCAGTGAATTAGCCTTTAGCTTAGCATAAAGATTGGGAAAGCAGCTAACCTGATTCTGTTTTATGGGCACATAACCACCTTTTCGTTTTTAGATTTGCTTTTTGTCCAGTGCTCGTCTAGCTGTTAACCTGTTTCCAGCCTCAGCTGCCTGTTGTCCCCATATGTTTACCAGACAGACATCTGAGCGGTGTCTAAGTCTTAGCGGTGAATAAGCACATCTCTCAAAACATACAACTTTTGCTTTGAAGAAAAAGCCTCGAGACCGTAAAGAGGTGAAGTCAGCGGACTGGCTGAAGGTGGAGGGTGAGATGGGGAGGTTAAGTGAGAGGTGTCTGGACCCAGACTGTAGCATATTTCCCACATTTGTCAGCTGTGAGTGGCCTCCTGAGGAAATTGCTCATATGTCTGGGAGAAAGATCGCTCCAGCTTTAACATACAAATAATGTGGCCTGCTCTGTACTGTACATCTGGAGCCACTCAAAACATGCTTACTGAAAATTATTCATCACCAGAGATATAGGAGAAATGGATATGTCACACGTCTCCGCTGTGCCGAGACAGATGTCTTATCTTTAAAGTTTTCTAAAGATCTTGTCTTTTCACATTTGTGATTTGCAAAAACTATTTTGGATTTTTACTGTTGCTGTACTTGCCTCTCATTCTTTCTCACCGTTGTCTCCACCTTTTTTGGTAATTCATAGCGTTCCTTTTTCAACTTCTCTTTCTGCCTTACGTTTCCCCTCTCTGTCTCTACATATGTATGCCTTTCGCTTCATACTGCAGCCAGAGCCAATATAGACCTGTGGTTTGGTCCTAGTCCAGATCCACCAGCATGCGTTGACCGGCTGAGTGCCAACCTGCTTCACATCAGCCGAAGAGATGAAGTGATTGCTCCTTTTCTGCATATCGCGTTGACGAATGACGCACTATCTCCACACGCTCAATTTCAGCGCTGCAGTGATCTCATTTGTGAATTTGGACAAACACCAACTATGAACCAGGAATGTTTTATCGGGAAACCTGAGACGTTTGGCTGTAAAAGACAAAAAAGACAAATTTGCAATAAAAGTCAACAACCAGAAGTTCAGTCTCTACTGTTTTAAATGCTCAGCGCCCCGTTGACCTCAGTCGGTAATCAGACCTGCCATACTTCCTGATTGGTGAATTTATTTATTTTCTCATGACCTGAAGGGTCGATTGGCCCAAAACTCAGTACTTGGATTGAGTCGCTCATTTTTTATTTGTACACTTTATCAAGTGAACCTATGACATAACGTTTTTTTCTGCACAAACAACACATGTCATTTATCAATTTAGACTTTCGCCTATATTCTTTAACGATGCACTGATAAATATTTTATCCTGACATCAGGTCAAACGAGTAATGTGTAATTTCAAAGGGATAGCTTGTAATGACGAATTCAAATGCGAGTCAGAGTGTGCAGAACTCCTTGAGCTTTTAGCGTTATTTAGCTTATTTGGGGTTTTTAGCAGCTAGTGTTAAATCACCACCATTACCAATCACATCTTATAGTTTACTGCATGTTGTCATGTCCTGCTATTATTTTAAAATGAGCTCTGTCTGAATACTAGCAGTTAATCCCAAGAACTAGGTGCCAGCTTTAAGTCATTAGGTTAATTTTGCTTGTTTCCATCACTGAGGTGTAGCTGTGACTTTTTAAAACCATTAAACGGTGGTGGTATCAATTAGACATAACGCAGACTGCCGTAAAAACACATTCTTCCAAATGGTCGGCACGTGGCAGCTTCTCTGGTTGCTAATATGAGTCTAATCATATCAAAGTCCATGAGAAAATATCTCTACTTCTCACTTGATTTGTTGCCTCAATAAACATTTCCCTAATGAGTTAATGGTCTGAATCGCTACTTTCAAGTTTCCTTTGATACGGTACGATTTTAATTTCACAAAACATGGTCTCATTTAAAGTGAAATACACTTTAAAGCAGGGTAAGTTTTAGGGCGGGGCTACATTGTGATTGACAAGTCACTACTGTCTCGTTGTGCGTAGTATCCTCAAGTTCTCCGTCAGATTTATCCCCTCGCTTGTTTCGTCTAGAACAATATGGTGACGGCCAAATTCCAAACTTGAGGTTTCAAAACCAGCAGTCCAAAACAAATGGGTATGTCATAGTTGGTACATCCATTTTTATATACAGGCTATAGTTAAGACATTTATTTTTAGGCTGAGATGAGGAAATCTGACATGTTGTAACCTGTAAACAGCTCGTTTTTACAAGCACTGTGCCTTGCTATATTTTACATTGCAAGAGTTTATAAAAAATTGCCATTTCACAATAATGAAATCCCTTGACCTATCAACGCAGATGTGCAGCTATGTTATAGTATGTTTTGTTTGGAAAACAGTTGTAAAAGTGGTGCCTTTATGTGCAACTAAAAGCTACGAAGTAAATAAAAAAATCAAGCAAAGATCCCAACATGCTGTCTTTCCTACTTAAAGTTCAACTTAAGTCAGATTTGTGTTGGTGGGTGGAGGTGTGTAGCATCGTGCTACACAATCCAGGAATGTAAATAAGCCTGTCCGTGTAATTGGATACATTCATTTAGCAAAAGTATTAAATAAGACACAGCTATTATATGATTGCACTGCTTAGCACTAGAAAAAAAACTTGGATCTTTCCTTTATATGGATGGAAATCAAGCGTAATCCTCGCAGTAAATGAACTCACACACACTGTTTAAAATGGTGATGTACCAGATGTTGGACTGTTTGTATTACCTCGTATCAACTCTTCGATTTGCTGTGAGGGAACCAAACTGTCACTCAAAGCTTAGCCCAGCACATCCACACAAGCTGTTGTGGTGTCAAGTTTTACACATTAATTACACAACTGACAACATCTGTGACTCCCTAAGGAGCGAGGTGAGAGGAGGCCGACACCAAATATCTTTTTGTCCAACAAACAGCGAGAGGTCTAGTTCAACAACGGGGCATGTTGCTTCACAAATTCCCCTGGTAAAAGCAGCAAAGATCATGTTACATCCAGACTCTCCACCGTCAAATTCTTCACATCTCAAGCTGAATGTCAATAAGGATGGATAAATCTGAACTACTGGAGAAAACAGCAGAGATTAGTTCTCCAAATAATTCAACGAGCAAAGTTGGAGAAGGCCAATGAAGCCTTTCATGGGAAATGTGGAGAGCAGACAGTGATTGGGAGATGATTGAAAACAGCAAGAAGAAGCAACATGAGAAGAAACAGAAGAGGACACTAAATGAAAGAAAAGGAGGAAAGTGGAGGAGAGGAAACGAGGAAAGGGAGGAGAGACGTTACCTTGATGGTCTGCGTCGTGACTCCATGCTCTTTGAAGATTTTGTTGAGCCCTGCAAATGACAAAGACAAAACATCAGGTCTTTCTTATGGTTCTCTGCACATATCATCTCTTAAAAGACTTTCAAAAGCGTTTGGACAATAAAACAACCCTGTTTCCCAAAATCTACGCTCCTATACCACTTAATCACATTATTAAGTATCTTCTACCGAATTAGATCTGTTTGAGACGCATCACAAATGCCTTTCTAATTACACCTAAAGTCGCTATTTTATTGCATTGCTGTTCCTTCTTTAAAGCTAACCAATCATATATGAGATGAAGTGAGATTTGTCACCATGGTAACCCAGAAAAATGGTGGAGAAGCTTCAAACATGGCAAAATTCCAACTTAACTAAACTTCTAACAACTGTGAAAATGATAACCAAAGCATAATGTTGTTTTCTAAACTTAACTACATAAAAACCGACAGTAAAGAAGTAAAAGTGTAAGTTCAGTTTAGGAAAGTGGGTGAAAGTCCAGTTCCTGACTTGTGGCTTCTTGCAAAGACTTTTTGGTTGTTTTAAACAATATGTATGTGTTATAACGTTAGTGTCAAAATGAAGTTGCATGACTTTCAAAATGTAAATTGCAGTGCAGTTTAGTTCTATAAGACAACAATTTATGAACGACAGACGTAAAAGACAATAAAACATGCTGTTTGTTCAACAATGACCAAGTTTCGATGGTTTGATGGTTCATTAAAACCTCCACATAATATCTTCAAAGCACAAATCCACTTCATCAGTAGTTCCACTGACTGTCGGATGTGTCCGATTTGTTGTTTTCTAAAGTAAAGAACCAAGCTGCTCCCTGATGACGCCACAAATTCAGTCTTGTTAATGTAAAATATGAATTCAACAGATAGGTAAATGAGGCAGGTCGGTTTTAGGGGTTTTTAGATTCTTGAACTCTGAGCGTATGGACACCTAGGAGTCAACACAGCTGCTGAAATGAACCTGAAGCTAAACTCCTGTATGAGCCAGCCTGCTCCAGTCCTGTGGTTTATTATAATACAGTGGGCAGTCGAATTACATATCAAGCCCCTCTATACACAGTACACCAAGTGTGCGTTTCACTTTGGGAAGAGGGGCGTCTCGTACTCGATACCGTGTGAGGAGGGTTTCACATGGCACCTTCACAAAGCCCAGCAGAGAGGCCCTCGCAGAGGAAGTGTGGCTGAAGGTGATTGACTGTGTTTGGCTCCGCTCGGCCTGGCCTGCCTCGCCTCCCCCTCAGACCGGCTCGAGGAGGGGGTCAGAGGGCATGTGGACTTGTTCACTCCCCCGTGGTGTTTGGGTCACATGTGCACAGGAGGGGGCTGTTATCCATCATCATCCATTAGATCAGACTGGCTATCTAACAGCCAGTGTCAAGCACACACTGATCTCTCTGGATGAGCATCAGCTCTGCTAACAGCTGACTGTCTGGGTGTGATGCCTTAAACTGGGTTACTTCTGCTCCAAATGACCAAACCTGCAGCCGCTTTTATCGCTAAAATGGGGTTAAAAAAGAAAATCGCAACCATTTTGTTTTTATTCTGCAACAGTGAAAATGTCTTTCTAAGGTAGGAGCTCCTGTAGTTACTCAGAAAGACGCTTCCGTAACATTTCTCTTTAAACCGAGTCTATAAGGTCTGTGTTATGTTTTCCACAAGTTCACAAGAGTCTGCTATGGCGTGCGAAGGTCAATGCGGACCGCTTCATGGTCGTCCACGTGCAGCCCGGCGATGACAGCACAAGTACAGTAACGCACACACTCAGCAGTAGCGTGCATGTACAGAATATGTAGATACAGTTTACTGTCCATGTACACAACTAAGCTCCCCCAGCTTACTCCAAATGGACTATGAGGTATCATCATAACAACAACTACGTGTGATATCTGCAGCTGTCCAAGATCCTTCAAAAGTGTCATATTCTTACTACAAACACTTCTGTTGAAAAATACTACATAGATAAAATTAGCGATAACAACAGATTTATGAAAATATAAAATCACAAGTCAGCATCAGTCAGCACTCTGACAGGACTTGTAGATGGGATCGAGGGTACGCAGTTGAAAAACGAAGACAGACAGTCTGGAGCGGCTCATAACAAGTTCTAGTTCCCCTTAACACGGTGGTTTGGTGAGAAAACAGTGTGTTTTTACCGCTGTGTTAGTGTCCCACGGTAATACACACAACTGATGAGAGAAAGTGAACTCACTGAGTTAAACTAAGTATAAACTTCTACCATAAAAACTGAAGATTGAACGACATAAAAGTCAAATAAATGAAAAAGACATGATTATCCAGCCCTGTCTCCCAAAAATCTCATCCCGAATCAACGTCACTGCATTCTCAGTCATCTTCTGACTGAACCGTAATCTCATCAGGATTATGTTTGTTTGTGATCCATCACAAATACATTTCAACCAACATGTTGCTGCTGTTTCTGTTTCTAAGAAGTGTTGCATTTTCAACCAAACCATAATATTACCTAAGCTAACCAAATAGGTTTGATGTCTTAACCTCCCAAAACCATGAGTGAAAATGAAACTTAACAGAATAATGGTCTCACATGGGATGCGCACCTCATTCTCCTGGGTCAAAATCCTTCCAAACCATCCTTCTCGCCTACATCTTAAGGCGGCCTTTGTGGCACTTTCAAGCCTTTCTTGCTACGATACAGGTGAGAAAATCTGTTTCAAATCAGTTTCTTTCCAGACGTAAATAAGAATGCAGTTGAGTTGCACGGGGACGCAATTTGTTGAGACAGTTGTGACGAGAGAAAATTAATTCACTGAGTCGAACCCAGCAAAAGAAAAAAAAAGCTTTGACCACATCAATTGAACACTGAAGGACATAAATATCAAATAATGTTTTGGTGTAGCTGCAGGAAAGTTATTTAAGTGTCGGTGCTACACAGTGATCCAATCTAGCTCTACTTTAGAACCTTCTACATTCTGGGAAAACAAGCCAGACCCACTGTAGCAAGACAGAAGTTTAATCCCTGACAGATTCGGACTTGTTTTGGAATTAGACTGCATCACTGAGTGAAAAAAAAAAAACACATGAGAACATTTTTCCAGGCTGATCGTTGTTTGCAGAAAAAGACAAAGATTCTACAGAAGTTGCAAATGTCACAACTTAATCAGTTTTAATTTGTAAATTCCTGCAGGGACAGCCTGCAGTCACAAACACACATCAGATAATGGGATGTCTGCCCTTCTTCTACTCTTTCCCAGCACCAGACAGTTTATTTTGACAAATTCTACGCTCCTACATGCCCAGTGTTCACCAGAACGCCGTCCAACTGAGGTGACACAAAGCAAATCCCCTCTTTTCTGCCTGCACTTTGGCCTAAACGTTTCAGCATGTTGCAAGGGGCTATAAAGTGCAGCGAGTCGCCAGAGGAGGACAGAGATGAATGAGCGAGAAACGACCCAACGGAGAGGGTTCAGAGACAGACGCAGAGCATGAAGAGGGTTAAGAGTGCTGCTCTCAAGAGCGGCGTTACGGGACGTACTGCGCATCAGTGCCAGGAAAAAATCCCCAAACCCCTCTCTTACAGGACCGCTGTGAGGTGGTCAAAACATCCTCAGGTTGTTGAGTGGCAAGAACAATGCCGGTTAAGTGGACACGGACGCACGACGCGGTGCCACCAGCCAAAGACAAAGACGTCTTAATTAGAGACTGTGAGAGAGTTGTGAGGAGCTTTCGTTTGTGCTGCAAAACCGGCACTTAATTCATAGTTTCGCTTCTAATTAGTCCAGATTGGTGAGCAGTGGGTTTTATGAGCCACAAGATTTAGGTTTAAGTGCAACCATGTGGGTAAACACAAAGCATCACAATGAAGCCACGGTCAGTAGTGAGACAATGACTTTCACTGTGGTCACATTGATGTTTCTGTCACTGGAAGACTCAAAGATTCTGTGACAGTTGGTTTTCGTACAGCAGCAGCAGATTACAGGAACACTTGAGACGCTTCATGTTAGAATCTAAATATCTTAAAAAGAAAGATGCAAGTAAGCAAAGTAATAATTAGAAATTCGCAAATGTCTTGTGTTTCTATTCCAGCAAAATTAGCAGCAAAGTTGCAGTGAAACACAAAATCATCCTGAAACCAGCTTCTCCAGTTTGAGAACTTGCATTGGGAAGGAGGGGGTGGGCAAGGTAGTGGTGAAGAGGAGGAGGAGGAGGAGGAGGAGGAGGAGGAGACGGGAACTGGAGTGGGGGGTCCTGCAGGCCCTGGTTCCAGATGAAAACCATCTGGGGAGGTTGACTTTACAAGCAGGCCATACAAATTAACCATCTGAGAAAAAGCATGGGAGCAAAGGAGGGAGGGGAGCGAGGGGGCGAAAGACGTTGGGGGCTGGTAAAAGTTGGAGAGGAACTTTTCTATGACAAAGAGAAAAACCTGAAACAGCAGATAGGAAAAGGAGAGGCAACAGGAGCCCCGCTGGACTAAATCCATCCATCCATCCATCCATCCATCCCTTTCGAGCCTCCGTGGCATCCTACCTTCCTGAAAAGGTAGCCCGTACTCCAGCGCCAGGCCCCCCTCAGAGAGGAGAGCCGCCTCCTCAAAGAGCCTCCTCGGTCCATCTCTGGAGAGCTCCCTCTGCCTCTCACCGCTTTGCGTCCAGCAGTGAAGCTTCCTCTGAGAAACCTCTCCCTTTTTTCTCCGACAGCGGAGGAGTAGAAGAAGAAGAAAAAAAAAACAAAGCAGGGGCTCTATTTTGGGCGGCTGCCTGCACTGGGCCGCTGCATGCTCCGGCTCAGACCAGACTCCTCCACAGCGCTCCTTGTATCGTCCTTCTGTCCGCTCTGGGTTCTCCCTTCCCTCTTCCTCTCTCTCTCTCTCTCTCTCTCCTTCTTCCCCCTCTCTGGCCACCCTCCCCCTCCCACTCTGCCTCCCACCACGTTATCTCTCCCCCTCATATTCAACTTTTCCCTCCCTCCCTCCGTCGTTCCCATGTCTCTTTCTCATCTGTGTACGGATCATAATTGCAAAGCCTTTCCGTCTCTTTAGACAAACATGTGGGAACTGATGCATGTTTGTACACAAGTCAGCTGACTGGCTCTTCTTACTACTGAAGTCAGATGCACTCTGACGGATGTGTCTTTTGCAGAAGTGAGCTCATAAATAACACAAAAATACATGTGCTTTTGTTTTCTGAAGTCTGAACACGAAAAGTAGTTGAAGAATGAAGCTCAAGCAATCAGTGGGTGAAGTTAAATCCAAAAACGCTGCTCCTCAACCAAACAAACTTCCGACTCTGCCCAAATCTGAATCTCAACAAATTAAAAACGACCAATAAGAGCAAAAGAAACCGACCAAACCAGCCGAAGCAGTGAAGTGAGAGGAGCTCATGTAGTCATAAGACAAATCTTCTGGATGCTCCGAGGCGATGAGGCGTGGCCAAACATCCGCCGGCGTCACAGTGTAACCACACAGCAAATGCCCATGACCAGACAGCAGCAACACACACACACACTCCGACACATGCATACTCTGTCGACATGTGATCATACAGCACACGTGAAACTGATTTAATCACTCACTTGACGGCCTTCGTCAAAGTGCAGGCCAGAGTATGATAGGCAGATTTGCACCCATATGAAGGTCTTCATCAAAAACAAAAAAAAGAGGCTCTCAAGGTTACTGTCGAAGAAAAGTGAGGGATAACTCAGGAGACGCCAATAAAAACAGGCGCACTCATATACAAACACAAAAAAAAAAAGGCACACTGGTGTATTTGGGATTATTTTTGGTTCCTTGTGGGGAAAGTGGGCACTCGGCTTTGGGTGGTAACTCTAAATCGGTTACTCGATCCGTCCTTTCTCAGACAAAATACAACTCACAGGAAGTTGTGTCACAGACAAACAGAGCTCAGTGAGTCCAAAGCAAACGCGCATACTGTAATTGCTGCGCGTGTTGTGCTGACGTGCACACATGGAGGAGAAACGCTCTGAGACGTGACAATAACGTCATTAAAGCACCATCAGTAGATTCAGCTTCACTTTAAGATGAGAGACTTAGTTTTCTAGTCCATCTGTGGTTATTGATTTAACTTTAAAACTCATCTCTGTGTGTCAAAGCTACATACTCAGAAGTTTTCTTCGTGCCCTCAAATGCCTTCGATGTAACTCTACACCATTGCTCCCTCTAGATTGTGCAGATCTATGACTGTATCGATGCATAGGTGCTGTTCTCTCCCCTTTGTACTCGAGCACACCAGCTATCCTCAGACTACACACTTCAGCACTTTAATAATTCCTTTTTTCTGCGAAGGAGATTAGTTTTACAGTAATCCAGCCACACATGTTCGAACTGGAACATGATTCTGAAGAAGAATGATACAAGCAGTGCCAGCAGACAGGATAGATTCCATAAACTGCATTTACACAGCAGCTAACTGACCTTTGTATTAAGATGAATGTGGCTCACACCTGTTGGAATCTGTGTAAAATGTTTGTTCAAACCCGTCACACTTAGTATTTTCAGTGCTAATATTAAGGACCAGACGACTTCAGAAGACGTCCATAACTGTTTCTGCACCATTCAGAAGAATAATAAAGAATTTATACATTTTAGTTTCCCAAAACCATCTATAAACTTCTCAAAACTGAAGTCCAAATTTAGTCCCATTTCAAGAAGAGTGGACCCTACAGCATTTGCAGTGAACTCTAAGGGTTGGGATGGTCACACAGGAAACCAGAGTTCACTTAGTTGTGGACGCTTGTTTTTTTATTAAATTCAATCTTTCACTCAGTTTGCTGAAGGGTTTTAGTTGCCACACTTGATCCAATAATTAACCACATTTTATGATAACTGCCCTCTTTCTCTGACATGATCAGATACTGTAGAAAATGATTCTTCTTAATGTTGGCTTTGGATTAAAACAACATCAACATTCTCAGCTGGTTGCTGAGCTTAAACATACTTGCATGTCTGTATACGCAGATTACAGACTTTAAATTTAGATTCGACATATCTTTACGTTCACAAGTCAAATTGTTTGGATGTTCACATTATTTTTTTTTGTGGCCAATATCAGACTTCAGTGTGAACTGTTCATGGTCCTGAAGTGACCCATAAAAGTTCTACGGAGGTAAATACAGAAGCCACTGAGCGTTTACAGTTTCATTTATGAGTTGATGTGCAGCGGAAGGCAGCTGAAGTGTCGTCCATGTTTGTATTTACAGAGTGACTCCTTCCAGTGCAGAATTGTGACAAATGTCAGTCTAGAGTGATGATAAAGTCCCATTAGTTGTGATATGACTCAGAACACAAACAAATAAATCCAATCCGTATCCACTTGAAGACCACAGTCACATATGAGCAAAATTTAAAAAATGATTTGGGTGACTTTTGTCTGCAGTTTGAATGTCGGAAATACATCCAATGGAGCAGAATCAGTGATTTGGTAAAGAAAACTGACTCGATTCCCAGCAAAGAACTCCTGGTTTGACATGTTTCACTTTGTGTTGAGGTAAGATAAGATGATCATCTGGTACAGAAAGGTGCAACGCGTCCCCAGTGGACGTAGGATATCTTTGGAAAATGCTTGAATTTGACTCATAAAAGCCAGTCAAAGCTGTGTGTGAACAGTAAACTATGGCCACAGTCAAGGAGGACAAACACAGAGTATAGGCATATGAAGCAAACACCTGATGTGGTTCTATGAAGCTTTTTATTGATGAACAGCAAGTGTATTTACTACAAAAGATGTCTTTCATGCCACCGGGGACGTCTCCATCCACTCATAACTACCTTCCCCACGGCAAACACATCTCATCTGTCAGCCGGTGTTACAGCAGCAGATTAATGGCTCCTTCACTTCAGTAATCTAAGCAAACGAGATGACTGGGCTGGAGAAAAAAAGAAGTGAGTAATGTTTAAAAAAAAAAAGGGCCGGTTGAAACTTACCATGGTGTCTACATGTTTGAGAGGGAGGTCACTGCTCGGCGCCTGTTCACAAACGACAGAAATAAACGGAGATCAATACACACATGTCACACCTCAAACTCTCATCACCACATTAAGTCCTGTCATGTCACATCATCCTATGTTAAAGCTACACTCAGCACCATTCTTTGCCCTAATGTGGCCTGGAGTGGAGTGGGACTCCACCTTGAAAGCGTGGGACCATCTATAATCCCTCTGTGCAAATATTTACACAAGGAGACAAGTCTGCTTCCATTAGCCAAAAACAGGGAGTCCAGCCGTGGAACTCTCTTTTTCAACACCATATACAGCTATGGACAGAGAGGGAGGCAGGCACAGAGGGCGGGAGAGAAAAAAGGGACATGGTGGGACACCAGGAGAGCTACAGGGAGAAGGAGACGACTGAATAGTAAAGGGGGAGGATGGACATTCAGGATTCTTTTAAAAAGAAGGAGAAACAGCCAGATGCAGATGAACAGGCAGGCTTGGATGTATAGATGGGAAAAACATGAAGGTAAAGAGGGAGTTTCACAGCCGAGGGCAGCAGAAGAAAACATCAGAGCAAACCGTGATGTCATGAGCTTCTGTGGGTTTGGTTTCTAACCTCAGACAACCCACATGCAGATGATACTTAGCGAGTGAAGCATAAAATCTGTTTTATATGTATATATATATATATATACTGTACAGAGCAAAGACTAAATTAAACTACATGTTTTTTGCAACACAACTTGATGTATTACAGTCAGGATAACACGTGATCCATCCAAACTGACCAAATGGAGAGAGTATGTGGGGAACTTTGAACATTTTCTTTGCATTGGACCCCATTATTTGTACCCACCAGCCATAATGTGTTCTGAGAAAGGAGCATCGAAGGGTCGAATATCAAAAGCTGGCATTTAAAGCCTCGTCACATATTCAGGCTTGTTTGCTTATTCTTTGATCAAATATCTTTTAATTCGAGTCACAATGCTGTTTTGACTTTTAGCATGTACTTTATATAAGCAAATGTTTTTAAAACTACAGAAATATTCTCATAAACATGCACAAAAAGTAGTTTCTGGAACACAACTCTGGTTTCAAAGCCCTGATAATTGGCCTGTATGACCTAGAAAAAGGGCTCACACTAGTTCAAATACATCAATCAGCAACAGCATTAAAACCACTGACAGCTGAACTGAATATCATTAATCATCACATTTTAACGCAGTGTTCTGTTAGAAACTCTTGGGTCTCTGCATTAATGTGCATGTTACAAGTCCCACCTACACACCGTTGCAGACCAAGCACACTCCCTAAGAGCAATAGCATCCTCTTCCAGCAGAACAATGCATCCTGTCACACCATTAAAACTGATCAGAAAGGGCTTGGGGAACACAGCAGAGAGTCCACGATGTTTACGTGGCCTCCAAACTCCCCCAGAACCCAATTTGATGGAGCATCCACCAGATTTGCCAGAACAAGGCCAATCCACTAAGGCCCCACCATCAAGAGGTCCCTTGATGGGTCTGAGCTGCGTCGGTGACAACAGGAAGAGGAGTTATGCAATATTAAGCAGGTGGTTTCAATGGTAATGGGTGTAAAG